ATGAGGACTTCAATTTGGTTACGAAAAGGAAGCAGGAAGCCCGGACATGGGACATGAGAGTATTTGATCGTGACTCACACACGACTCGTGCTTGACACGTATTCCTGGAAGGCAAAAAAAGAAGACGACCCCCCTCTCTACCCACCCCTCTCAACGGCAGGTGCTATCCTCCGGTAGCAATGCCTTGATTCTGCACACAGAATTCCTAATTAGCCCAAGGGCCCTACGCTTCCCGATTTATGCGTTCTTAGGCTGTCTGCATCTATCAATTGTTAACCTGCTCCGAGTGTGCATTTGGGTGGCCAATGGCCAGGCACTTGGCCTGCCTCTATAAATTACATTCGAACAAGTGTTTGGAATATTTGATGCTCGCACTCACTCGTAATTTATGAGATGCACTTTGAGGGTTTTGTAATGTTTTTATAATTTGTCTTTATTGGTTTTTCATTTATTATTTTTTTCGTTTTCTCGCTGTTTTGTTTGTATGCCTGGCTCGTTTTCCATTTCATTTTTTTCTTATTTTTTGGTTATTGTAGTTTATAATTTGCATTGCTGTTTCATATTATAAATTATCATAATTAACTAGGTGAATGTTAATGAGTTGGCGCGAAGCGGCGTGACAAGGCTTAAGGATCTCAATTGTGGCGTTTTTTTGGTTTTTGGGAGAACAACTCAACAATCTCGTTTGCATATTTTACAATCAATCAATCGGAATTTCTTTAACTATGGCTTTCGCTGCTTAATTGATTTTACATTCATATAGTTGTATATAATATTTATATTTATAGTTTAAAACGTTTTTAATAGCTTTATCTGTTTTTCGTTCGCAATTTTTCGCATTTTCAGTTTTCGCTAAGCAAAAAATTTAAATTTAAATTAAATCATCAGCATGTAAGCAAAATGTAAATTATATTGTATATAAAAATGATAAAAATAATATTTATATATATATATATATGTAATAATCACACCAATAAACACTAAACATAAGACTAACTAAACGTGGACACGGCAACAGATTTGTAGAGTCAAAAGCGAAAGACTTCCATTGGAGATACTTGGTCGATCATCGGCGTTGAATAATAACGTACTAAATACACACGCTCTTGTTTGCTGGGTTCTGTGTGTGTGTGTGTTTGTGTAGTGTGTGTTGTGGGTGTGTGTGGTAGTGGGGACATAGATTAACTAACAAAACTTACAACGTACACAGAATTCATTTAAGCATCTTGCATTTGTGAGTCTACAAATTCGAGACAATCGAGCACCCAAAACTTTGCACTGCGAAATTACACATAAACATACAAACAGACATACGTACAAACAGATCGTTATCAAGGCATATACATAGTTATTTCTCGCTGTGTTTTCTAGTTGTCTTTCTCAGTTCCCCTTTTGCACTTGGAAACATTCACTCTCAACCGATCTACCCCAAATAGTTGGCTTATTGCTGGCTTTGCTCATTGTTCATCACTCTGCAAATTATTATTAGTATATATGTGTATATATATAGTTGTTCTGTGTGAGATATAGTGCCTAAGTGTGTGTGTTTTGTGTGTTGTGTGTGTGTAGAGGGTAGGGAGGTTGTGTGTGTTCGTTATCTAACGACTTTGGCTTTTCGAATGTTGAATTAACCACTGCAGCGTTATGTCAATGTTGTCCTTCTCCTTACACGAAATACTATAACAGCAGATTTCACGGTCCTGTATGCTCGCAAGATTCCTGGAAATAAAAGTCAAGCCATTGGTTTGGATTCAAATTTTTGAAGTTAGGAATACTCACATGCGTTCGATGAGCCCGGTTTCATCGAGGGCCCCTGGAAGATCACGTTTGTTGCCCAATACGAGCACTGGAATGCCGGCAAGCTGAGGCTTGTCCAACAGCGAGTGCAGCTCATTCCTCGAGGCTTCCAGTTTATCCAGATCGGCTGCATCCACCATGTAGCTAAAAGAAAATCATTTACAGCATTAATTGGTCTCTCATTGTGGCCTCATTTATATATAATGGCTTACACAATCGCATTAACACCGCGACAATAGCGCTCCCACATGGAGCGGAATCGAGGCTGGCCGCCAATATCCCACACCTTGATCGTCACATTGCCCCTGGTGATTTTGCGCATATTGAAGCCAACTGTGGGTATCATGTCCTCGGCAAATTGGCCAGACTGGAAAGGTAAAAGCGGAGATTAATATGGAATAAGTTAGGAAATTTAAATAAACCTGTTTGGAGGTTTGTTTTTAAATTTAAGCGGGTAATTTCCTATGAAATTCAATTTCTTGGGGCCTTTACATAACAGCCCAAAAGTATGCAGTGAAAGGGACCAGTCCTGTATGTAAAATTTGTGTAAAATGTTTCATGAAATCGTTATTTTACTTTATAAAAGAATTCGATATTAATTTTAATATTAACAAGAAAACAGCTTAGTTAGTCTGTTAGCAAAAGAAGTTTAAAACTTGGACGGATCTTTAAATTCCACAACTACAACCTCAGATAATCAATCTATAGAAGCAATTATTTTAAGCCAAGCTAAGAATAGTTCAAAACTGATCAACTAACCAATTCTAGGAATGAAAGTAAATACCCTTAGTCAAATATTAGTTCACTCATTCACAGTAATCATAAAATCCAAAACAAACTGAGGATTACTAACAGTTTGTTCGGCTCACAAAGGAAGCACAGCAGTGATAAGCGGGGGAATAATTTCCAATTGCAGAGCACTTGAATAAACAAAATTTCCTCGCTTAATCCCCTTGCATGTGGGCACATTTAAATACAATTCGGCTTTAAATGGCGGGCGGCAGCTCCCATGAGTCATAAGTCAGGCGGCGACAGCTGACGGACCGACTCCTCCTCCTCCAGCTGCTGATGCTCCTCCACCAGGGTAACCGCAGCATTAGACTTCGATTTCTAAGCTGGAAGCTACGGATCGCGACTTTATCAGCGTGCAGAAATGTGTGACAACTGGAGGAGGAGATTCAAAGGTTTCTATAGGGGGGGATTCACAGAGGTCGTTTTGCTGATAATGGCGTCATTGTTCGGAACATGCGTGGTTTTATTATTGATTGCCCAGTCGCAGGAACAGTAAACTTTGCCACTAAAACAAAAATCGGTTAGCACAGCGTTAATTATTGATGCATTGAAAGAAAACAGATAAGAAAACAACAAAGGAAAGACCGTAACAGCAAGGTGTCTCCTAGGAGCCTCCCAACCAAAACAATGACAATATCATATCGCCTTTGTCAGCTAAGGGTTTAGTATTACTTTTTACTGACTTTTAGTCATATTCCCCCGGCTTTCACTCACCCCACCGCCTCCGCCGCACCGCCCTGCCCCTAGCAAAACCACCCTCTCACCCATACACTTGTAGCAAAAATTCGCACGCACACACACACTCATGGAGAAGTACTCACTGCAATAACATTGACGAACGTCGTTTTGCCCGAGAACTGCAGTCCCACTAGCGTCAGCTCCATCTCCTCTTTCCAGAAGATGCTCTTGAACCAGTCGAGGATCCTGTTGATGAGGGCCAACATCCTGGAGTTTGGGCTTTGCTTAATTTGCGAAAAAAAAACGTTTAAAACGAGCGATAAATGGCGTTGCCGTGAAAAAACAACTGATTAGTGTGGCCCTATTAGAGTAGCTAAAAATTACCCTAACTTTGCAGAAAAATTCTCAACTGGTCACACTTGAATTAATCGGAACGTAATCAAACTACGTAAGTAAGAAAAAATCTTATTTTATTATGTTAAGTGAATAAAAATGAAATACTTCGATGAAAGGGGAATAATATATTTGCGTGACACGATTGAAGACTTTCTATCAATAACAAAACAATAAAAGTTAAAATATCGATATATTGATATATATACGGTTTTCATGTGGTATCATTATATATTTCTTTCGTTGTGACTGGCTGCCTTGGAAGAAGAAGAAAATAAACAAAATGGTAAGTGTGCTGAATTTTTTACTAAATTATATTAAAAATGTCTACAATTTATGCAATTTCAGGCGCGCAATGCAGAGAAGGCAATGTAAGTAGCTCAAAGACCCACAAAAATATAAACACTCAAGTACTAATTTTCTCGCTATCGCCAGGACAACATTAGCACGTTGGCGGGCGGCCAAGGAAGTGGAATCCGGCGAAAAGGAACGCCGGCCGTATTTGGCCTCTGAATGCCACGATCTGCCAAGATGCGAAAAGTTCCGCCTAGAGATTATCCGTGAAATATCGAAAAAAGTGGCCCAGATACAAAATGGTACGTACCTGGCGTATACATACGTTCCTAAAAATCCATATTAATGCTCGTCATTCCACAGCTGGGTTGGGTGAATTCCGCATACGAGATCTCAATGATGAAATCAACAAGCTGCTGCGTGAGAAGCGGCATTGGGAGAACCAGATATCATCCCTGGGCGGTCCCCACTACAGACGCTATGGCCCCAAAATGTTCGATGCCGAAGGCCGGGAAGTCCCGGGCAACAGAGGCTACAAATACTTCGGTGCCGCCAAGGATTTGCCTGGCGTTCGGGAGCTCTTTGAGCAGGATCCTCCTCCGCCGCCTAGGAAATCGCGAGCCGAGCTAATGAAAGATATTGATGCCGAATACTATGGTTATCGAGACGACGAGGACGGTGTACTTATTCCCTTGGAGGAACGCATCGAACGGGCAGCTATCCTGAAAGCTGTGCAAGAGTGGCGCGATAAAATGGCCAGGGATGGTCGTATCATCGATGATGAAGAGGAGGATGAGATATACCCCTTGTCGGGACCTGCTCGCGAAGCTGCCGAGGATGCCAAGGCCCGAGCAGCCGTGGAAGATCCGCACGGCCTGCTGGCCCCCAAATTTACCGCCCACGTGCCTGTGCCCACACAGCAGGATGTCCAGGAAGCGCTCCTTCGCAAACGAAAGCAGGAACTACTGGAGAAATATGGCGGCGGGGACAACTGAATTCCAATAAAGATAATTTTTTTAATTTGAAATGCGACTTCGACTTGTTCATTCAGCTAACAAACTTTCAAGTATTAATGAACACTTAAATAATTATTGAAATTAATAATAACCAAAATGTCATGAAAAAATCTACCTTTTAGGTAGCAACACCTTTGAATTAACAAATTTCAAGGCACTTCAATGCGCTGTGTCTCTTACAAGCTACAAAAATGCATCGATAAATGCAATTAGAAGTCGAATCGATCAAAGTTGCGGCCTCCTCCACCGTCACGTCTACCACCGCCGCCACCGCCATAGCCACGGGCGCCGCCTCTTCCTCCGCCTCCAAAACTGCCGCCACCTTCGGCAGCTCGTTTGTCCTTCATGGCCTTGTAGCGCCTGGCCATGTTGTGCAACTCGTCCGGCACCTCTTGATTCGCCTCCTTAAGGATTTCTATCAGCTCCTTGGCCATGGCCCAGTCCTCGCGGGTTAAAAAGCTAATGGAGGTGCCTTTCCTGCCGGCGCGGCCTGTGCGTCCAACGCGATGAACATACTCCTCGATGTTGCGCGGAAAATCGTAGTTGATGACATGACTAGTAGGAGAAAGAATTGAGGTATAAGAAAGTCTCTAGGCTATCTCACAGACTTACCTGATGTCCTCGATGTCCAGACCACGCGAAGCCACATCTGTGGCTACCAGAATGTGCACAACACCCGACTTGATGTCTGCTATGGCCTGCTCGCGATCGCTCTGCTCTCGATTGCCGTGAATGCACTGTGTCCCGAATCCATCCAGGGTCAGGTCACTGGACAGATCGTCGGCGCGTGACTTGCGCCCACAGAATATTATGATTTTGTCTGTCTCGGTCATTTGCCGGACGAACGATTTGATTGTTTTAAACTTGTCCTGGTCGTCCTCCAGTAGTTCGATCACCTGCCTCACAGAGTGTGTGGCCGCTAGATCAAGCGATCCAACACACACCTGAATGGGATTTCTCATGTAGCTTTGCGCCATGCGTCGCACTCCCGGCGGCCAGGTAGCCGAGGTCATAATAGTCTGGCGATCGGGACGTATGTCCAGCATTACTTTGCGGATCTGCGGTTCGAAACCCATGTCCAGCATGCGATCTGCCTCGTCGAGTACCAAATAGGTGATGCTGGTTACATCGATCACATTGGCCTGAACCAGATCATTGAGCCGTCCTGGTGTGCAGATGATGATCTCGGCACCGCGCTCCACATCGGATATCTGCATACGACGATCACCACCGCCATACACACAAACCCTGAAAGTAAATAAGAAGTAAGAGAGGTATTTCCTTCTTTTCAAATAACAACTCACGCTCTCATGTTGCGGAAGGAGTACTTATTCACCTCCATTTCGATCTGAAGGGCCAATTCCCGTGTGGGGGCCAACACCAAGACATTGGGTCCACCCCTTGAGCCCCTGGGAATGCTCTGGTATTCGGTGTGAATCATTCCCGGCAGCAAGAAGGCTAGCGTCTTGCCTGTTCCTGTTTGGGCAATGCCGATCATATCGTGACCCTTGAGGAGTATGGGCCATGCTTGCGACTGAATGGGCGAGGGCTTCTCAAAGCCCTGCTTCTGGATCTCACCTAGGAGATCCGGATATTCGGCAAAGCATTGATCGAAAGACCACACCGGATTGGGAATGGGTTCAACAGTTTCACCCTCCTTTGGTTCGAAAACGTGCGCAACAGTGATATTATTGTTTTCGGCGCGAATGCGCTTGATCTCGGATTCGGACAGATTGGCCACCTCAGGTGCCTCCTTGTAGAAGTTCTTCGTCAGCGGTGGCAACTTGGCCCAGCGAGCCGCCGATGCTTCTTCCTGGAAGATGTTTGAAATTAATTTCAAATTTACGAGCATTTTTAAAACACATTCTAATTACCGAAGCTCGGTTAATAGCAGCCCAATCGATAGTACCCGTGAGATCGCCATTGGCATCATCGTTTCTCGGCGGGGGTGGATTGAAATTGTAGTTTCCCTTGAGTGTATCATAGCTGCCTCTGCCACCGCCGCCTCTCTCTCGATTTCCGCCGTAGTTATTGTCCTGGTCGCGTCCATTGAAAGAGTCGGAGCTAGTCATTTTGCGAACATAGTCTAAGGCATTGCTGACGTCCTCCTTGCTGTTTCCCGAGATCTTTACAAGCTGCTCGCTCTTGTCAACATGAACGCGAACATTAAAGTCATCCTGGATACGGTTGATCGTCGATCCTCCTCTGCCGATTACCCTTCCCACCATATTCGTGGAAACGCTAATTGATTCGCAGAACTTTCCGCCATTGCGATCGGAACGGCCTCCGTTGCCTCCGTAGCTATCACGACGTCCTTTTCCATAATCATCTTGATTCTCACGTCCTCTTCCACCGTAATCATCACGGTTCTTGCGTCTTCCTCCGCCGTAATCATCATGGTTCTCGCGTCTTGCGTAGTTTTCGCGCTTTCTGTCACGTCCGAAGCTGCGCTCGTATTTCTCGTTTAACGTCGAGTAGATCTGGACAGGAGCTGGCTCCACGTAATTTGGATCGTCCCAATCTAGCTCAGACATTGCGCTGCGTTCTTTTTTTTGTCAAGAAAAAACAAAACCAAACACGTGAAAAATGCAGACTCCGCAAAATGATTTCAAACGGTAAAATCCCCTCGCGTGTGTTGGTATTGGTGACGCAAAAAGAAGCCACTCAGCGAAAATATCTCACGAACTAAGAATAGCTACAAATCACAAAATTAATTTTATGGCTTCAATATTTAAATAATATTTAACATACTTTGAATATTTATTTAGCCCATTTTTCTGGCAGAAACAACGAAACAAATTAAACAGCCCGCTTTTACGCTTTAACACCAGGGTTGTATTTCGAGAGGGACTTTTGTAACTTTATACTTGTAAATAGCCAATATACTTGAGCCGTAAAATATTCATATCGATAGGTCTCCAGCCAGGACCGATTGCCCTCCAGTGTTGTTAGCTCACCACTTCTCTATGCTTTGCAGCACTATTCAACAGTTTGGCGGTTCCTTTAAAAAAATTTAAATGAAAAGCAAAGATAGATTGTTTGATTACTTTTATAATGTCCGTTTACTTAACACACGGTTACATTACACTTTTCGCGTGTATCTTAGCCTAAAAAACTTACGATCTAATACAAATGAATCAAATCGCATTCATTATTCTCTCACGCGCGCTCGCTTCATATAAATAACTAAAACTAGAAAACACAAACACAAGCTTTTACTCACTTCAAGAAGTTACTTAATTATATGCAGTGTGTAGTGTAGGTGTGGGTGTGGCTATAGCGATTTGATAAAACTTAGAACAGTTTTGATAAGATCTTTGCTGTGTATATATGGCGGAGTTTTCCTTATTTGTTTTTGGGAACGGGAAGTTTTTTTTTGTGTGTGGCAAGTCAGCAGAAATAGTTGCAGTGCATTTTGGATTTTCATTGTTCTATGTGAAGATTTTAATATAGTTTATGTGTGTATAGGTATAGTTAAGATTCGCTTACAAACTAAATTTAAACTAAATTAACATATACGAGGTGTTCTTTCTTCTCAAACAATATTTTGCAGTTGGTTGTTTTGGATTACTTTAGGTAATTGTTTTGTTTTGTTGGTACAGGGATGCGAAGAAATACATTACAAAAGCTCTTAAAAAGTACTGAAAATAGTGCAAGCTGCAATTGGTATTCCTCTTTCCTTGTTGGTTTGTTATTTAGGTACGCTTGTATGTACAATTTGTGAATTTACATGATCCAAAAGGTGGCTCAGTGTTAGATGTTTGATATATCATTTGCATCACCTTAGTTTATAGGAAGTATCAGACCGTTTTAGCTTTTATGATACGAATTGATATACTGGACATAGGTCTCAGAGAAATGTAAGAAAGCCTTTTGTTTTAAAAAAATGTCGATTAACATAAAATACGCTTTAAAACTTGAGTCTATTTTACATCTCGTCTAGAGCCGTACAACATATCAATCCGATTCCAATCATCATGAACTTGGCCAAGGTCTGTACATTTTCTTTTTATTCACAGCTGCTTGGTGGCGGCTCCTCCGGGGGATCCTTTCTCAGTCCCTCGGATTGGCCGCCAAATGGTTGCTCCTGCTCTCGGGCGCCTCTTCGCAGACGGGCGTTGCCGGTATGGAGATGCAGGACATGGACTTTGGGATGGGTGACGCGGGCGCATAGCTGGACTCCAGATTTAGCCTCAACTTGGCAGGCGAATTCCGCTTAAATAAGGCCAACTGCCGCGTGGGTGACAGCAGACTTGGCTTGCTGATTGCGCAGGATACGGATGAGCTGGTGGACAGCAGGGAGCATATTCCGCTGCTGCTGCTGGTGGAGCTGGGTGAATCTAGCTCCGAAATTGTGGAAGCCGCCGCCGAAGTGCTAGGCGCCTCATCGTCGGGTGTTATGGGAGGTGAGGTGAGGCGCGAGGAGCAATTACTGCCCGCCAGACTGCCGGCACCGCTATCCACATCATCGTAATCATAGACATCCTCGTCCATGGCCTCGCTGTCCGACTTGGACTTGCCGCGATCCCGTTCCCGCTTCTCCTCGATCTCCTCCTGCTCTGGCTGCTCTACCAGTTGACTAGATGATGATGGGTGGTTGAGACCCACCGAAGATACTCCACCCACGGATGGGGTACTGGGACTGTTGAGGTGCGGGGTGGCCGGTGCCAGGATCCCGCTTTTCCGCAGACTCTGCTCCAGCTCCAGCAGCTGGCCCATGAAGTTTAGATTGGGCGAGATGATCGGCCGGGCCACTTTCACCAGCTTGTAGGCCTCCAGCAGGGAGAGCGCCTTGTACCGCATGACGTAGGCGATGGCGATGGTGGCGCTGCGCGAGATCCCCGCATGGCAGTGCAACAGCACCCGGGAACCCGTTTTCCGGGCATCCTCTGCAAAATAACAAGAAAGAATCGTTTTAGTTGGTTTTTTTAGGTTTGCAAAGAGATTAATGAAAGGTAATTGAGATGGAAATGATTTCTAAATCATAAGGCATACAAAAATTAATTATTTGAATCTATTTTTGAATCTTATTTCTTATGATTTCTTTTCAAATACCAAAATTTAAGCCGAGCGCCAAAGTATTATGGTTACCAGACCTATTCAATTCCTCTCCAATTTACTTCCTGTAGGCACCCGTCGAAAAGTATGCAACGTTCTTACAAGATATAATTATATGGCCCTTAGGCTTATTATCATTTTATAGTTATGATTTCTATGTTGCCTTGACATATTAGGAAGTATATTAAAAATAATAGACTGTGAATTCTCAACCTTCGTCTTGTTCTTGCAAATATTTATATTTTGTTCACTATTCCTAGTGCTTGTTTTGTTTACTTTCTTGCTCTATCTAGCTATTTATATCTTAATTTTTTTCTGTGGTCATCTCTGGCGAGGGAGAAACTTTTTCGAATTTTGAATGTCGAACGTGGAAGCTTCGATTGCCTGCTCTAGCTGTTGTTGTTGTTGCTGCTGTTCGTTGTTGATATTGCCCTGTCGATAGTGCCGGTGTATGGGTGAGTTGTACTTGATTGCTCTCTCTCCGGCTCTCTCGCGATGGCTCTCTCCCACCTCCGCCTCTGTCCCACTGTCGCCCTCTCAGCCTTCCTCGGCAACTCAACTGTGTGAATTTTGCTGGATGGATGAGTCATCATCATTGCCAGCAGCAGCAGCAGCAGCAGCAACTGAGGCTTATTGACAGAACATTTTTATACCCTCGCACGCGCACACATACACACACTTATAATCGAGTGTGCACACACACACACACACACGTGGGACACATTAACTCATAATTTACGTTGTTATTTTTGGGCAAAGATAAGCAAGCAGCGGCAGGAGGAAGAGGAAAAAGAGGAAGAGAGCCCAGAAGAATCCGCAGCATACGGCGCACTTTTTTTTTCCAAGGCTCACATAATCACATACAGTGGAAATTCGAGAAAAGAATTTTATTTGTAACTATAAAAAACTATGCATTGAAGCTGTATCTTAAAACCACATTTTTTTGTATAGTAATATTTCAATAAATAAATACATATTTTATTTTAGATAAATTTTGTAACATTACTTTTTTGGAGGCTTACGCTTTTCCTTATTATAGAAGTTCAACTGTAGTCTTATTAAGCCACCACCGAAAAAATACATCACTATCTTATCGTACAGGAATTGGTTGTGGTGTGATTTCGGGTTTGGTGGTGGGCTGAGGCACACACCATGAGGTGGGCTATTACGGGGGGGATGGATGGTCGGAAGGATGGGTGGTTGGAGCCGGCACAGCCTTTCCTAATCGATGCTTACTCATAAGGCAAACAAAGCAACACTTGTCTGATTTCCAAACAGTTGATAACCGAGGCCAGTCGGGCAGAAGCGAAGCCTTGTTGTTAGTCACCAGGCGCCCCAGTACCCGTAGTACCCCTTTCCATAGTATACGTACATACATATGTATGTATGTATATGACCAAAGGAGGTGATATCAGCGATAAACTTGGAAGGCGCGTGGTGTAACCCACTCGCAATTGCAGCCATATTGACAACAGCCCAGCCTTCACTCCCCCTTTTTTTTCACCCCAAACCAAACCCTTTTCAAGTGGAGCGATAGCGCCCGCTGTGTTTGATTTATCAATGAATGGGTGCAAAGTAGACAGCGATAAGGATGATGGTACCTTCTACTTCGATTTCACAAATTTCGACTACAATTATGAATTGCATTTTACAAACCACACCACACCACAGTCAAGTGAAATCAAATCGAGTTAACGCTATCGATGGTCGGTATGACGATGATATGGCAACTATAACTGTGCTTGGGGGAAAATCCATCATAAATAATCAACTACTAGTCGATGATAACCGATAAATGTTGAAAATGGAGGTTGTTTCCAAGTGCTAGAGCACCTAAGGTAAATACGTCAGAGCCCACAAATGGGTTCTTGCCTCAGTGGCTCGAATACACTGGCCAAAAAACCCCCCTCATAGGAAGAAATCAAATTTGTCAAGGTATTAAAGCTTAAGAAGGGGATTCACACATGATCATAGAGTAGAAGGTTTCAGAGAGAAAGAAATAGGAAATTTTCATTAGTTTCAAATCTTTAAAATATGAATTATTTAAGATAACTAAACATTTTTCGTAGTGTCGCAATTGGGGGAATCAAAAGAAACATATAAAGAGATGACCAATCCATAAGGCGGGACAAAAATAGACCCACTGATCGAGGGGGAAGGCCAAAGGAGGCCGACGCCTAGATAAAGAAAGATGGTCATTAAGCGTACAATGGCAGACAATTGGTCACCGTTCTCGCCCCCGTCTCTTTTCCTCTTAGTTAATGACCCCGTCGCTCAGACAGTTAAAATCGCGCATAAAACGCGCCGTAAACGCGTCCGTCTTGAACACACACCACACACACACACCCCATAAGATATGATACCATATGATGTGACTCATATTGGCTAGAAGTGGCCAAGAATACACAGACGGGGCAGGTATATGAAAGGAAGGGGCCCGGAGTTTTGCAAAAAGTCTCCCAAGAAGTAGCTGTTAATAATGAATGAATTTCGCAAAAGTCTAGTTTGAGTCACTCAGAAGTTGAACTAGTTAATTGAGCAATAGTTTAGTTTCAACATTGTGACAGAGGTTTATTTTTAAATCTTTATCCACTATGCAAACTTAAGTTCTTAAATTTTTAAAGTCTTAAAATAAAGATAAACCCCACTTTCACCAGGTTTACTTAACACCAGAAAGTCGTTCTCATCAAGCTTAATTTTGTCTTATTTTTTCGTCAATTATGACAGTTTTAACGAAACCGTTAATCATGGTTATTATATCTAGAAAGCCAACAATTATTTGTTTGTTTTCTCCTCTGTTATTTTTTGCATAGACACATATTTATGTATGTATGTTGCTTCATTCAGAGAAAACGGAACTCGAAGATAACTCTATGTTTCGGAGAGGGGACTTTTGCTGGATTATTAGGAAGCCGAGCTTAGGTAATTGTTTATTGTTCATGACAAATATGCAACCATATTTGTATGTTGCGGCTGTGACTGGCAATGGAAATGGAAATGTAAGTGGGGACGGAGGATTAGTAATCGCCAATACTTGCGATACTTATGACTAAACGAACCCAGTTCACCGGGGCGCACATTTTCCGGCGATGAGTGTGGATGAGTGATAGATCCCGAATCGTGTCTATAATGGGGCAGTCCACGATTCGGCCATTTCACCACACAGGGCTGGGATGAGCGTCGTGACTCCATTTAGGGGGCGCTATGCGTAATGCCAACTTTGGGTAGTCACCGCCTCCCCCATCCCGGTGAATGGATGATTAAGTGCAACAGTAGCGATGCTATGTTTTCGTTTTTTTTTTATTTTATTGTTCTCTGTTCGGGCCCCCGAATGCGTCATCTGGTGATTTGGGCTCAGAAGTGGGCCAAGTGGCAGACAACTGTCTGACAGCTGCGATGCGTTGGGTTGGGTATCGAATCGGGTGCATGGTGTTTCGGTTCAGTATCTCCTCCGTCTGGCCAGACCGTGATGACTGCCTGTCGCGACATTTTTCTCGAGTTCTTGTTCTCAATGTCCGATTGCCCAATGCATCATTTTCACTTTTTCACTTGATGATTAAGCCACCGGATCTGGGATCTTGACTCTCTCTCTCTCTCGGCTCCCGGAGTTCCAAGGGTCAACTTCAAAGTGTCCCCGGTGGCGCGAAACTCTCGCAACTCCTCTGAGTCATGGCCAGAAACAGAAACGGCAACAGAATCGAAATCGGAATCGAAAACAGAAACTGAAACTGAAATAACCATCGAGAGAGTACATGGAACATGATATATGAATGAGAGTTCTAGTAAGTTGTACAGCAATGGTCAGGGAAATAGTAGCACAGGATCATGGCAATAAGTTAGGTAAAAATATCATTAATATAACATTCAATTCCCAATATTTGTGTCAATATAAAGTTGTAAAATACAAGATTAAATAGGCATTTTTTGCTTAAGATGATCAAGCTGTATCCCATTGCTTAAACCTTGATTTAGACTCAACCGCTACTATTTTTCTGCTTCTAACTGTTTTTAAATTTAGTAATGTTGTCAAGCAACAACAAGTAGTTTTGTTTATTTTCAAAATATTTAATTACTTTCGGAGAGCGACTGTTTATCATTAAGAATGCCCGCTTACTCATTCGTGTTTCTGATTCAGTTCCAGGCACTGACAGAGACAGAAAGAGACAGATTGAGTGTGAGTCTGAGTGCGGCAGGTGCCGCCAGGACACTTAAATGGCGATAAGACGCCGCTGAATCATACAAAACAAAGAGAGAGAGACAGAGAGAGAGATGTGAGCGGAGCACAGAGGTGGGGAAGTGGGTGAGAGGGGGCTCTCAACTTGACCTTCAACTTGGCGAAGCTCGACTTTGACGTGTCGAGTCATGCGGAAACAACAAGAGCTCAAAAGGCAGCCTGGCCTGCACTTTGAAGTTGCCTTCAACTCAGCGGATGGCTCAGGGCTCCCCTCGAGTGATTCATAAAGAGCATGCGCAGCGTCAAAAACAACAAAAATAAACAACAATCGCAATGTTTCATAAACAAATTGCGCGTATAAAAAAATAAGGAGGAAAATACAACGTGCGCGGGCGCAAAAGTCTTCAAAAGGGAGGCAATAATGAATGAGTACACTGGAAACTAATTTCAAAACCTTTTAAGATATGCAAAATTCAAAAAACAATATGAAACTAATTAATAAAAATATAAATATCAAATCAGATACTTTCTTTTTATAAATTTATACTAGTTATAATATTTTTAAATTTAATTTATTGGGTTTCCAAGTAATATTTATTTTTCCAGGTGTATAAAGAAAAAGAAGGAAGTGTATACGTGGGCGTGGTTCCCTGTAAAATGATTAAGTGCTTTATAATTTCGCATTTCTCATGCGCCCGGCACGAGAAAAAAATAAATAAATACAAAAAAAAAAGAAACCGAAGTCGCAACGCAAATTTCAAATTCGAAATTCCTGTGCGAAGATTTTCAGTTTATTTAGCTCGGTTGGTTTTTGCATTTTATAAATAGCCGGCTGACGAATATTGAAATTATGTGCACGGGGGCCAACAAAAATGTCACCTCGAGGTTTTTTGGTTCTTTCAGTTTTTGTTGTCTGCCAACGGATTTTCGATTACTCATTAGTCGCAGGACTGTTCGAGTTGTCTCTTTTGCACGTATACTGAATACACAGGTACAGCGGTGGTCAAAATTATAAGATACGTTTTTGGAGGTACATTAAATATGATTTACTTTATTGTAATACTTATTAAAATAATTCAAATAATGTCATATATAATGTTATATTTTCTAAAAATACATTTTAAATTGGTATTATATAAATTTACCTTTTGAATATATCTTTTCTAAAAATACCAAACTAACTACCGTTCAAAAATCCGACATAAATATTCGAAAAAAAAAAACCCACACTAACCTATTATATTTTAACCACAACTGTGCTTGCTATATATTTGTACATATGCGTTCATATTCATAGTTTTATCTAATCGGCCTTTCAACTGAATGTATGTACTATATAGAATGCTGGTATCACCAAATGTTCTCGAGGGGCCTCCGTTTTTCAGTTTACTTAGCTGCTTCTGCGCCAGTGTGTGCACAACCCGTACCCGTACTCGTATCCGTAAATGTACCCGTACCGGTACCCCCTAAACGTAACCCCACAACCGACGAGTATATTGTATGCTCCCCGTTTAGATTAAGTTAGTTTGTCAAAGAGGCCTTCTGCTCCATTGCTGGCAGATAAAAGCTGATGGCCTGTTAACTGATAACGTGATAACTTGGCGCACAAATAATAGGCTCTATATGGGTACAGTCAGCACAGACACCGTGGCGATAACTTGACAAATTGATTAGGCGGAGCGATATTGATAAGGAAGGATCGCAGAGCCGATACAGTGAAAGTTTAACGGGAGAGTATTCCAAATTGAACAAATTAAAAATTCCGTTTATTTACCTTGGTGGTTTTCTTTTGTTGTTTTTCCTTGGCCTTATTTAAACAACGAACATATTTGTTTATGATTATGGCCTTCCTAAATTAGGTATTTATTTTTCTTTTAAATCCTAACATTTTTAAATGTTTACCAAAGCCGAAATACATTGGATGTTTTATCTTTGAAGGTATATTTTTATTCATTTTATTTTTCCTTCAATGGAGCCTTCATTCAAGTTCATTATTTCTTGAGAACATACCCTGTAATTCTTATTTTGTGCTAAATATTTATGTTTGGAGATCTCTTTCTTTATAACATCAAAATCCTTGTTATGATCACTCATGTATGTATTTTGGAGTGAATCCATGTGTGATACCGTTCGATTTCCTGACAATTGAGTCTTTGATTGCTTTCTAGGCCAAGTGGCTTTGGCCAGGGTTTATCATTCATGTTAATGACACAGCATAATGACATTAGCATTATCCGACAACTACAACGGCAATAACAACAACCTCGAACTCTGCCGCCGCCTAATGAGCCTCTGCCGGCGTTGAGCTCATTTCAAGCTTTGCTTCACATAGCGGTGCTTCCTCCTCCATACCCCCTCCTTCCTTCACCCAACCCACCCGCTCACACAAAGTGCTGTTATGATGAATGGAAACGAAACGCAGCGCAACACAACAATAAGAAATCATAAGAAGAAGTAGCATAATACAGGCGAAATAAAACAATAATAATAGGCATAAGGTGACGACGGCAAACCAAAAACGAATGCGCAAAAGGCACAGCACACAGCAAACACAAACACAAACCGAGAAATGAAATCATGACTCATGCACTCAGTACGAAATACATATACTTTTCTCCTCCTCCTCCTCCTGCTTTACTCCTCCTCTCCATTACTTCGTGCCTGAGTACTAATGTGTTTCTGTGCGGGTGTGAGTGAGTGTGAGGGAGAAGGGGAGAGCATTTATAAAAATAATACTTGAGAGGTGAAGAGAGTTGGGGGAGGAGGTAACCGTAGTGGGTGGTGGAAGAGAAGAGAGACAAGCAAAAAGGAAGCTGCAGATCTGACAGATGCAACAAAAGGAAGACAGGAAAAGAAAGAATACAAGAGAGGGGCTATGATCCATACAAAGCAGCTGTTGCTCACGCACCTGACATCCGCACCAACAGTCGAGGCCGCACGCACAAGGATAACCCAGAAACAAAAAAAAACCATACAAACGATGACTCATGAACAGGAACCGAAAATGTTTACAAAAATAGAACATATGCCAAAAAGAAACGCGCAGCGACCGAGCGAGTGAGAGAAGAGAGGGGTGAAATGTGCCGTTGGCGGCGCAATAAATAGCAACAATAAGAAGCCAGCAGAAAAATCGATGCTGCTTTCCCGCTTACCCTCCCACAACCGGCTCCCACTCTCGCGCCGTCTCGCTCTCTGTGTTCCACATTGCATTGTGAACGAACAAAACGGAATGGCGATGACTCATCGTCGTGGCACAGTGGTGGCCGAAAAATGTTTAACAGTCAGGGCGGGCGAGCAGGATTCGAAGCGAGGCCGAGGACACAACCCTTATCAGAAAGGACGTTTGCGGTTGGTTAGCATTTTGTTGTTCTCGTTTACTGGCCCGGCAATCTGCATAAAGTTTCCATTACCCGGGCAAACTTGTGTGCACCGCGAAAACTAAAGGCCAATTACAGAATTAAATTTCCAAGTCTTGAACTAAAAAAATATATTTAAGTTACCGTCGATATTAATTATGTCCGCCTTAAGATAAGATTAATATTGTGAGTAACTGCATTTAACTTTTAATAAGTATTTACCTTTTAATCCTTTTAATATAATTAGTTTTTGTTCAGTGCACCCTGGTCTATTATGCAAAGCAAACCAAAGCAAAGCAAGTAAAAGCAAAGAGAGCAGAAAGGAAAAGCCAAGCGCAGGAGCAGCGACGTCATAGTCACCGAAGCCGAAGTCGCAACACAGTAACGGCACCAAAAGGCAGCAACAGCAACAACAGCTGTGACGACGACGTTGCCGCCATGCTGTCTGCCAACGCCAGCACGCAACAGCAACAACAATGCGGCGGCAAATGGACGAGAAGGAGACAGAAGGAAGGTGGATAAGCGTAGGAGCACCAGCAACAACAATAGCACTGAAGAGGAAGAAGGAAGGAGCAATGCTCCTTTACGCTCACACCCTTCTAATGGCTTCTACGGGCGAGAGGGAGTGTTTAGAGTACGCTTGGAAATCCCTGGGGACTAAGGATTAAATAATGAAGCATTTTAAATTGATTCACGAACAAATGTTTAAATATTCAACATTAAATTCAAATGTATTCTAATTTTGAAAATATTAGAAAAGTTTTTGATAAACTTTAATCCTTTGGTTTGGCAGCTAAATTTTAATAGGAACACAAATTGTGTTGGGAACCCATGTCTTATACGTGATAGATCTACATTTTTACAGAAAGATACTACCGTGTAGAACAAAGAATACCACTTTCCAAGAGACACCTATTTTGGAGGTCGCCAAAATACGCCCACTCGGGTTTTCTCGCGCGCTTGTTTTAAATGAAATATTTGCACTACTTAAATCAGAGACGCTAAAAAAAAACACTAATAATACTGCTCGTGCACACGTGCCGAGATATTAGCTGCTGGTTATAAAAAAAAAAAAAAAAACGAAGAAAAGAAAAAAGTACAAAACAAAAATACTTGATGAACAGCTTTGGACATAGAAAATGGAAATGGAAAAATGCGATTGACGTCAGCATTATATTCCACGGCTAAAGCTATAGCCCTCGCCGCACGTCGCGTTCCTCGTTCTTTCTCTAGTCGCCCGTGTGTACATATTATTATTTTCATTTAAAATTAACAAAAGTATAGTTTGTTTGCTTGTGTGGGAAAAGCGCTGAAGGCAGCACAAAATGCCAAGAGCACAAAGGCCCCCCAAAAAAAAGGGGCAAACAAAAAAGTCAATAACGAATTTTCCAGCCACACGAAAGAAAGGGAAGTGGAAGCCAGACCAAAGCAAAGCCATTATGCAAAAAAAAAAAAAAAAAAAATCCACAAATGACCGCTGAAAAAGCCCGCCGCCAGGCATCCAATAACAAGTCACGTTTAGCAATCGCCAATCGCAAATAGTAACCAAAGATGATGACTAAGCGTAACTCGGATTCGGATTCTCAGACTCGATTCGGGGAGCCCTAGCTTCCACAGAATTTCGTATTATTATTATGACTTTTTCCAAACGAAAACAAGATAATATAGTCTAGCCTAATCTCTGGCAAATATTTGGGAAATTTCATCACGTTTGGGGGACATTTCTCTCTATTTGACAACTGCGAAAAATATCCGTAAAGTTTGTCATATACTCGAAATTTTTCAAATGAAAACTTGTCCTTATCTTATTTATTTATCTTCAAAAGTTTCCTAGAAAATATCTATATATAAGAATTCATTGCAGATCCTAGTTAGATAACTAATACAAATGTTTTGCTTCATAGTACAATTATGTATAAGAAAGTATTTTCTAATTTTATTAGGAATATGATATCACTATTCACAATAAAATATCCAATTCAATTGCTATGATGATGATGGGAATAATTGAGGAAATACGCAATTTAATAAAATTGATTTATGTGCGATTGTACTATATATGATATCTGATACATTGTTCAAGACACTTACCGATAAAGTCGAAGGCCTCCTGGAAGTACTGCTTGATGTTCTGATGGGGCGTATCGCTGGCAGGTATTTGCATATACTTGAGGCCCTGCAGATGACTCTCGTTGGGACTTTGGCAGGTAACATTCAGCACACAGTTGGCGCCCACGCTGCTGGGATCGTCGGCATCGCGGCCATTGCCCAGTAATAGATGCGGGAAAACGGGCGAGGCGGGATGTGTTTCTATATCTGCAAGATACGCATATACATGCGGATTGGATCATTAGTTTTTATGAGTAAATAATGGAAAAGTTCTGGCCCATTGTCGGATTTGCGATCTTTCTTCACTGTATATCTCTCTTGGGGGCGGAGGTTTAGGTGGAAGTTTGCCAATTCGCGATGTCATGCAACAAAAGAGTCTGGCCTGGCCTGGCCTGGCAGATGATGATGATCATCATCGCCTGGCCCTGTTTTCTGTATCTGTATCTATTGTTGTGTACAATGTCTAAATTTTGCTACAACAAATTGTTTATTTTTTTTTGTTCTCCCCTCCTCAGGCGTTTTCATTTCGTTTCGATTCGTCTGCTTGGGGCTCTACGCCACTCTGTGGCTGTTGCATGAGTCATGCCACACACAGAGAGGCATACGAAATAGTATATAGTCTCAGTTCAGTTCGGTTCAGTTGGGTTCAGTTTTATTGGCAGTGGGCGAAGTCGAAGGGAGGTACGTCCAGAGGGGGCTGGGGGGTGGGCTTCACGTTGCCTCATGGCCGAGTTCCCCGAGTTCGTAGCACTCTCAATGAGCCGCGCAATTGTTTCTGCTTCCCCCTCCTCCTCTATGTGTATCTATAATTGTGCACTGTCCAACTACACTCCCCAAAAAAAAAAAAACAGCAATAAACAAAAGATAATTTAACTATTTTCTATGATTGATAAATGGGAACAACCAAAATATAAGAACTTGTAAAGAAAAAATTGGTCTAATAATGGAAATAACTTGCTTTATATATAGATAGATATTTCTTTAAAAAAAATCGGAGATCAAAGGTATCTCTTCATATTACTATTTTCTATATAATTTGTGGGCAAGTTAAGTAACTTATTCTCAAAGTGTAATGCTTAGATTGAATAGCAAGTTACTGGGCCCAGCATATGCCCTGCGGTTTTGGCCAGAGCCAACCCACCCTCTCACTCCTACCCCTGTTTCATCGATTATTTGTCATTGGCTTGCGTGTTAATTGATAGCACTCTGAGCCATGGCAACTCGACGTCGTAACATATATATATATTTTTTGGGCCGACTGCACTTTGTGGGTCACACGGAAATCACTTGCATTAGTCATCAACGATCGCACACGTTGGAACCTTACACGTAAAGATGATTGTCATTGCGGCATTTACGCAAGCCAACACTGATAGTACAAATAGTACTATATGTATATATATACATATATGAATATACAAATATATGACACTGTATAGTATGAATGCAATTAACGGATTTCATAAATATTTCCACAGTGAGTCATTTGGCATTTGGGTAAACAGGAATCACGAGTGTCTACTAACAAATATTGTAATGGAAGGGTGATGATCAAGTCGCCATAGCCATACAATAATTGTTTTGCTAATTAGTCTCCTCAAGGGTATTTCCAATTTACACATAAATTATTATTTTTTTCGGAGTTTCCTTTGGAAATTGCATTGACCTTATGACTTGGCATTTTGGGTGACGAAGTTGAAGTGACTCATGTAGGCATAATTACTATTTCGATTATTTGCCAATATATTTGAAATGTTAAATAATAATAATAATGAAAATAATAAGCAAACACTTGGGACTTTGTGTTTGAAATATACTTATACCAACTATACTGATTAGTGCAATCTATAAGGTCCCATTCATTCTGATCATTTTGAGATAGAGCTTAGAAATAATGTGTTTTAAATTGATTAGTCTTCACCTTAAAATACCGATTTATTAATAAAATGTAAATAGATCCGCTTAACTATAGAGGAAACCTAGAAACCACTATCACGGTGCAATCACAAGTCTGTCAGGTGGAAAAAAAGACACTCAAGCTGAGAGATTAAGTACTCAGACTTAACGTCAGTGGGTAAATATGAGTAATATGCAAAAGTTCGACCCGAGAGTTTGACATTGAAAATTTCACTGTATTACACAGCCGCTGTTGTTGTTATTATTATTATTTCTCTGTTGTTGGCTTTGTTTTTTTGTATTGTTTTGCATGTGTTTTGCTGCTCTTTTCATACTTTTCATACACATGTATACAGACAGATATATATATATATATATTCGCTCGATTTCGTAACGTGCAAAAATAAGCGCGAACGATTTATCTCACAGCACGTGCCGAAGCAAAAACAAAATTGTTTGTTTTTAATGTTAAATCCGAGCTCAGACGAGTGCGATGAAGTGGGGAAATAGAGGCAAAATGACGGAAAGAATTGTACAACAAACTGAGACAATTTATCGCCATGTATTACTATCAAGGGGGATGGGGTAAAGGGGTAAAGAACTTAGGCCGAGTAGGAAATGAAATGCAATGATAAGCACAAACAGCATTCTACATGCAGCAATGCAACCAGCAGAGCGAACAATCGAGAGATTGCTCGATCTGGAACAGATATAGTATCACTTCGGTTCCGCTCTCGATCGGAATGTTAAACTCAAGTAACTTGGTTGATAAGGCAACAAGACTAACCGTTCTTGGTATGCAAACTCCTATGAATCATGGCTATAAATCATTCAACATTGCGTTTCTTTAACCAAACTTGTACAATAAAACTCTAGGAATTACATATTTTTCCTTATAATTGAATATGTATCATAATTTTGAATCATTTTCATTTCATCTTCTTAAAATTCCTAATGTATTACCTCGTTGTTTTCAAATCGCACAATATATATGCAGTTTTGCTACTCTAGAATATCAAACTGGGCTATAAGCCAATAAATTTAATAATCATATCTCTTGTAATGTTTAACCTATTCCCTTTCCGAGTTCTAATAAAGATGGTTTCCTAACACATCACAATATCTTCGAAATTCCCCAAAATATTTACCTCTCCTTCCTCTAAAGCTTTTGCAGACATAATTGCGAATCTTGGCCAAAACTGAGTCAGAGAGACCTTTTGTGAAACCCGTCTAGAGATCACATAGCTGTGACAGTGGGTTCCCCATGTGGCTTTCACTTACCGTAGACCGCCGGACTGGAGCAGCTGCGGGTCAGCAGCGGCGTCCGTCCGCCGCCGCCGTTCATTGCCATGGAGGATGACGTCGTCGATGTCACTTGCTGCTGATCATCACATGCCAGATTCTCCCTGGACCGCTTGTTGGGATAGTCCTTCTGATTGGCTGCAAAGACAAACACACAAATACAGAAAACATGCGTTAATACGACGGTTTAAAAACTGATTATAATTGGCGGTTAGCGATTTGCTTAATTTTATATACCCCAATGATGTCAGCAGTGCGAAAAACTTGTCGCGCCAGGTCCGCTCGAATAAACCGCAAAAATGTTTCGCTTTAGCTTCGATTGCTGCCGCTGCCGCTGCCGCTGCCGCCTGCCAGAACTGACGTAAGACATTTATTTCGGCTCTGGAGTTGTTGCCTGATTAGCAGCGGTACGAATGCAAAGCCAAAGTTTTCCACATTCACCGCAGCCAAGTCGGAACTGGCAACTTAATAACTCGCTTATCACAATGAGCGGGCACAATTAGAAAACGCTTTGTAAGCGTAAATACGAATTTTAGTTGATAAAACGTAAATAAAATGTAGTAAAACCTTAACTACAACTATTTGAAACTACAGTTTTTGTGTAATTTTAAAGGTCCATTTATAAATGCTGGCATCTACTATACTTTTTATATGTAAAATTCAGTCTGTATAATGATGAATAAAGGTAATGCCAATTTCTAAGCTATTCCCAAAGCTCCTTTCATATTTTGATTGAAAGCCAAGACAGCCAGTGTATCAACTAATATGTGATAAGATAATTTGCAATATTTTGATATATTTTTGAGCAACTTATCCCTGTGCATGAAAAGGGGTCTTTGGAGGTTGAAGGACTGGTCTTTATCAGCTGCTGTACGCCTCGAACATAGTGTCTTTTTATGCTGGCACAAAAGCAAAACAACTTTGACTCAACTACGAGGGAACTAATTCGCTGTTATCAGCAGCCAGGCGACCTCAAAATCCAAAAAACAACACAGAAAAAAGCAACAGCCAGAAAAAAAAAAATACAACCAACTTTTCACCGCGGGCAGGAAACGTTGGCTCAATTATTTTGTTTCTTTTTTTTCGCTAGTAAAACAAGTAAAATCGCATGCCAATAGTGCATTGCACACGGACAGGGGCGGCGGTGGTCTGGAGTGTGTGGGTTTTAAAGGGGTTTCTTCGGAAAGGAATAACAACAACAACAAAATGGAAAGGGGGAAGTGTGAATTAATATGCAGCAGTTTAGCCTTGTTTTCAGTCTGGTTTCTGTTTTCCTGCCTTTGTTTCGGAAATTTTAGGAGATATTGTTTACCATACAAATTCATATATATTTTGTTTAGTTTTTCTTTACTTAAGGTAAAGTTTTAGCCCCTTCTATTAACTGTCCCTGCCCACCACACATGCAACTCTCTCCGAACGTCTCTCGCTTGCTCTACCAACTTCAATTCGTTTCAAGTTGTTGCTGAGGCTGTTGCTTTTTCTCCCTCTCTCTCTCCATCCCTGTACTTCTCCTTCTCCCTTCCTCTTGGGCTTGCTTCTTGTTACTGCTGTTGTTATTATTTTTGTTGTGCCGATGAATTCGTACTCGAAAGGTCGTTTCAAAGCGGGTTTTCAGTTGGATTTTTTTCAGCGTTGCCAGGCCGCTTCAGAAACCTGCTTTGCTTTACATTTTTTGTCTTGTGTGTTTTTTATTTGTACTCGTATTTTGTTGGACGCGAATCGAAATGCTTCTTTTGCTTTTATTTTTGAAAGACACGCGAATTGTGAGTCACGAATGGAGCGAAAAAAAGTAACTGACTCTGATCTCTCTCCTTCTCTTCTTTATTTATTTTTTTTGTGTGAAATGGAGACGCTTACGTGTGTTCGTCCCCTCTCTTTCCCTCCCACCCAAAAGTAAACAGGCAGCATGCCAAGCGGTAAATGCTCGCGGGAGAGAGAGCGCGAGTGAGCAATTCGTTCCCTCTCTCTCTCTTGATTGGTTTAAGTGTAATCTTAATTTGTATTTTACTTGATACTGCTTTTGCTCTTGTTGTTGTATTTGTACTCACCACCAATGCGATTGTTGTTGTTGGTATTTTGGATTGGCATAAATAACAGAAGACACGGCGCTTCTCGCTTTATCCGCATTTTCATTTCACTTTTATGACTCACGCTGCTGCTGTCGCCGTCGCACTCACAGCAATTGTTGTTGCGTGTTGTTGACGTTGCCGTTGTAGCGTTGTTGTTGCTATAGTCGCAGTTGTTGTTGCTGTTCTGCGTTGCTCGATTCACACACATACGCAGGCGAAACACACGCACGCACACATACGCACACACTACACACGGGCCGAGCACGAAAAAACTGTTTTAAAATTGATATTTTGCCCGTATAATCTATTATTCCTATGATTTTCGGTAGGAGGTTTTATTAGATAATCCCCGAGCCACTTGTTGAGCCACTTCCCGTTATAATTTGGGTGTACGGTGTATGTGTTGCAACCAGAAATCTAGTTTTATTTCCACTTGTAGCACGCTCACACTTGTTTAGTTTCCAAAATATTCGTTAACCAAAAAACGCGCGTATAATAAATTTAAGTCTTTGTGTCCAAAGCAATGCGTTTTTGAGTGAAATGTAGTTTATATCCAATTAGCAGTGTTTTTTTTACATTTTTAACTCGTTACGCCGCTATAGGGTTGTTAATTTATGTTTTTTATTAGGTCTTCCGGCCGTTAAAAGCGTAACTATTAACGCTTTAATAATCCAAAACGTTGTTAAAGTTCCTAAAAAAATCAATTGTAGATTTTTTAATTTCTTTGGATATTGGCGGCGCCTCAGAACACGAGTGTTTGTCGATTCACGAATTGGCTATATCCCCAAGCGACACAACCGCACTCGCTGAGTGTAATTTTTGTTTTGAAACGCGCGGTCGACTGTGTTATTATTATGGTTTTGGCTGGGAAGACAAGAACAAATTACACGTCCGCTGAAGTTGTCAATCTGGCTAATTTCGAGTCAAGTGGCGGAGAGATACTGTGAATAGCGGGAAATCTGGCTTTTTTATATCCGTTTATTTACTTTTTACTCCCAGTTAAGTTGTTACGATTTTTTCCCGCTTTCCGGCGGTAAATTTATTTAACAATTATTGTATAAGTATTGTATAAATTAATAGCTTTACTTATAGTACTATTTCTTTCTCCTAACAGATTCTTTATCTTCACCACTTTTTGGATATGCATTGTGGTCATAGTGTCATAAATGTTGTTTAATTTTAATTTAATTCAATTTAATTTTCACACATTTTATTAACTATTGTTAAATTACTCAAAATTATTAACCCAAACGGCCAAAGCCGTGCTAGCTTGTTAAAAGAGTTTGCTATGTTTGCTATGCTTAAGCAGGTGTTGGTACAAATAAACTTATAATTGTTTAAGATATATAATATATAATTGATAAATTGTTTATAAATTCTTGAATTTTTAACATTTATTTAGTTCACTTAAAAAAAAGTAATAGTTAACATGCCTGTGTTTGATTACATTTTACATGCATTGCGAGTTGTAACAGAGTGTCATAAATTGACTTATGCAGCAAGTATTGTGATTAGGATTGTTGAAAATTTACTAAAATATCAATATATCGATATTATAAAATGATATTTTATATTATTATTTTATTATATAAAAAATATCATCGACAAGTTATTTTTTAAAATATCTGACAACCCTATTTAAACTAAGAATTATTTATTAAATTGTTCAATTGTTTATAAATTCTTTAATTTTATATATTTATTTAGTCCATTCTAACAAGTAATAATTAACATGCCAATGTTAGATTAAATTTTACAGTTAACACGTATACAATTTTGATCACACAATAAAGTTTCTAAATCCCAGCAAAATGTAATTCGATCACTAGGAATTTATACAAACTAAAAAATATACTTCTAATTATACCCTGCAAGACTATAATAAAATACTATAATTATCTCATATGAATGTCAAATTCTTACCTCTTCGTTACAAAAACAATAAGTAGACGATTTACTTGTTTACAATTTGATCATGAGATTGGAATTCACCGTTTTTCAATTGCGAAATTTTTGTTTTCATACATTGCATTTATAGCTTGTTTTTCAGCGTTTTTAATTCTTTTATTTAGATTATCTTAGCCTTTTTCCGCTAAGACAATAGCTGATACGGTCATAGCCGACATCACTGAGCAGCAGAATAATTGCTCTGCTGACGTCGACGCTCTCCATGTTCGAAATTCGAAGTAATCAGCTGATTGTTGCTATGGTGAAATGTGCGATTCAACAGCGATAGGCGGTTCTGCCCGTAAGAGACGCGTGCGACAGAAGAGTACAGATATAAGTGTTAAAAAGTTGAAGTATAGAAAAAATTGAGCGCGCATTTTAAAACTCAGGGTTTCATTTGTAAATTGCATAATTTTTTTAGTTCTCTATTGTATATTTACCAATTGATTTTTACACGAATCAGCATTCTTAAAATTTAATATTGAAAAATTAAATAGTTTCTTTTAAACATATTTTCTGTCGTATATCTTAGTACACAAAAGGGGGTGGAATATTTATATACTCATATTTCAAAGAAAATCAATCAACTGGTGGAACCTAGGGAATACGAATTACTAAATTGTGTATTTTTGCAGCGACTAAACCTTTTGAAAAATATTTGCTATTAGGCATCTCTGGCTTCTTCTTTTTTGTTTTGAAATTTTAGCAATAGTTTCAAAAGCTATTAATATATTCGCTATTTGAAACTTTTTAAATCGAAATAGTTTACAAATTTATACTTATTTGTTTTGTGATTTTATTAAAATTAATAAACATTGTATGGTGGCTTCGTGGATTTTAAACTTGTGTTTAGCTAAGATGCAAACCATAAATACATAGGAAAAATTCCGGCAGTGGCGCTTTCAATGTGTTGAAAATAATTATTTAAATAAATTTTGTTTACAGAATCTTTATTACAGATGCTTTGTTTTATCAGTGTGGTAAAAGATTAACAAAATGATTATTTGTTTTCAGGAAATTTATTTTGGAAAATATTAAAACATGAATAGAATACAATTGTACCCAAGTAAATATATGTACTATAACATTTTTAGATAACCTTTGTGAGAATATTTAAATATATTCCTGAGTCTTGCTGATCATCCCGTTTTTAATATACTTTCTTAATTCTCAATTTCGTGAGGAATAGGTGGCTGCCATCCGCCAAAGGCCCTTTCCAACTCCACGGCCATTCGGAGGCATAATCGATCCTGATTTGGTGCTGCAATCACAGAGAATCCAATGGGGAGTCCCCGCTCATTTAAACCAATGGGCACATGAGTGACGGGCAGGCCAAGTACATTGAAAAGCAGAGTATAATCAACGCCCCAGAGTGAAAATATCGACCACTTGTTCCTCGGGGCAGGTAAGTTTAAGGTGGGAAAGAGCAGAACTCCATTATCACCGAGAAGATCCTTTAATGAAAAGAAAAAATTATGAATTATATATTTTAGATTAGATAAAACGGAAACTTAAGACTAATTGTTAAGGCTTTGATTTGACTTCAATGTACTTCGTCACTGAGAGGTTTAAAAAGTCATAATCAAACTTTTCTGGTTAATATTATAATCGTTGCGGTTTTGATTAAACCAAACCTACAACGTCATGCTGAATTGTAAAAATCACACTTTAGATTTGTATATATAAATTGTAATCTAGTAATTAGCAAAGGAGTTGTCATTCTTTGTGTAAGTGTAAGGTGCTTACTACGTACAGAAATACTGCATAAAAAAGTAGTGAATATAAAATATTTATGTTAGAATGCTAATTGATCTCACTTACTCGAAACTCGCCAATCAGGTAGTGCCCCTCTTCCATATATTTATTGACCCTTGATCTTGACATAAAGGCATTCGTCTGTCGCATGAGTTCAAAGATCAGGGCATTGGTTGTATAGCACGATTTACCAACAAGACTTTTCAATATCTCCCAAAGAATCTTGCGCACTATGCCCGAACTTTCTTCTGTACATTCGGATTCCAAGAGAAAATCCATTCCATCCTGTTTAGCGATACTGGAAAGAGCCATTTCGACGGAATTCTTTAGATTTGGTAACTTGGCTCGCTTCACCTCCAAGCCGAGGGTGCTTAAATGAGTTGTAGCCTTGCAAATGGCATTCCTGATATCCTCATCCACTGGCTGATGCATCAGACCGTTGACACCTTCAAAGCCCAGGGCATAGTGCACTTTAATTTGATTCAATTGAACAGGTTCATCTAGGCGCAACTTCGATGATTTATCTTTGCCAGCCATTACTTTGAGCAAATCATTCAGATCCTCGGCGAATCGTGTTATGGGTCCCTCCACCAAATAGTGCTCGATATTCGGGTCTTTTGAGTTGGGAAAGTGACCCTTTGTGGATACCACTCCCCCGCTGGGCTTGTGCCCAAAGACACCACAATACAAGCTGGGAATGCGAATTGAACCTCCAATATCCGAGCCAATGCCAAAAAGCGAGGCTCCAGCACCATTCAAAGAGCCCTGAAATTATAGCAGAATATTTACCAGACAATATTTATAGATATATTCAATGTATAACTTACCTCTCCTCCAGAACTTCCGCCTGGCGTCCTTTCAAAATCGTACGGATTCAGACAGCAACCATTTAGCAAGGTATCAGTTTCAATACTAAAGCAATACTCCGGCGTGGCCGAGATCAAGAGGGGAATAGCTCCAGCGGATCGCAGACGCTTTACAGCCTCTCCATCTGCCTGGGCCTTGACCTCCTTGCGGGCTAGGTTACCCACGGCAAAGGTCATGCCGCCAAGGGCACAGGATTCCTTGATGGTCACGGGTAGACCCAGCAATGGACGCTCTTCGAAGAGCTTCTCCACATCCGCTGGAGACTCACAACCGGCTATGAGGTCATCAACTTTGGCGGCTTCCTCGAGAGCAGCCGAAAATCGAGATTCCACAATCGCATTCAAGTGCGCATTAACAGACTCGATGCGTTCGATATATGCGCCCACCAACACTTTAGAAGTCAACTAAAAATGGAATACAATAATGTCATTAACAATTAAGTAAATTATTATGAATTATTTCCAGATATATTTTTTATATGTGTATTAAAGCGGCTTATCGATGTGAACTTTGAACTTTCTGATAAGGAAATGATTCAGTAATTTTGCATGTATCAAAACTTTACAGTCAAAGATTAATATAAGAGAAGTTATTTGGTTTAAGTGGTTGTAATTACAAAGTCATTAAGAATCTTATTTTTATAACTCATATTGTCATTGTAAATGTGATGGCATTATATTTTTATGAACTATTTTATTTTTATATGTTAGATGAATCAGAAGCTTTTATTTTTGTGAGAATCAAAATATTACCTCAAAAATCTAATTCCAGAAATTTTAAACAATATCTAATATTTCATTTTAGTAACAATTTACTTCTTTTTACCATTTTTTTTTTTATTTCCAGTTCTTATTTAACAAATTGTGTAGGTTTAACATAGCTAAGCTCTTCTGTGGGTATTCCCGGAGTAACTTTAGGTGCAAATTTCTTACCTGTCCCGATCGTAGGCGACTGCGCAGCTCCTGAACGCTGAGGGTCAGCAGGCGATTCCGTATCGGTGGTATGAGGGTCCTTTCTGCTTTCGGAGGATAAACGAACTTGTCCAAAAGTGGGGACAAGATCAAAGCTATCGCCCTTACAAAGATAACGAGAAACCGTAGGAATATTTCCATTGCAAGAACCAGAAGAACCGAACGCGACGAAGGCAGGAAAGAAAATGAAACAAAAAGCATAAACAAATCGAGCTTGCCGGCCAACGAAACGAGATAGAGTGATTGTGGGGAGAGAGCGAGAGAGCCAAGCAGGTTGGTTGATAATGAGGAGGTGGGTGGGGAGTGATAGGTGGATCATTGGGGGGAGAGTGAGCGCCAACACCAACGCTTATAAGCTTATAGAAGAGAGTAAGAGAAATAACTCTCTCAAGACAGTGGATCACAAAGCTCACACTCTCGTTAAATTTTATACGTTTCTAAAAGTTAATTTACAAAAGAATTAATATTTATAATAAATTGCAGAGAACCAAAAAGTTCTTAGCAAGCCAAAAATTACCTTTGTCTCGATGATTCCTGTTTAATTGAGATTTAATTTTGTTACAACTCAAATAAAGTAAAATTATTTAAATACCTCTTACAGTTCGAAACTTTATTATAAAAGGATATTTTATAATGCAAATCAAACTGGAGAACATACGTGTGAATTCAAAAATTGTTATGAATCATGCGTTTAATTTCGTCATCCTTAGATCCTGTGGTATCGACTGATGTAAACTCGAATGATGGTGAAGAACATGATGAATGGATGAGAATGAGATTGATGAGATCCAGGATGGTCACTTCGGAGGATAAACCTAGTTATTATCATCCGAAGAATTTGAGGAGGAGGAATCGTCCGAAGATGATGAGGAATCATCCGAATATGATGAGAAATCATCTGATGATGAGGCCTCCCGCGGAACTTCTGGTAGAGCCAATGGATCCGGTTGTGGGACCACACTTTCGTCGGGGGTAGCTCCAGGATGAGGCATACGATCCGGAACGGAAACATGCTCCGATTGTGAGGTTTCCAATTGATCAGCTTGACCCGAATCTCCATTTGGGGCTTCGTCAAATGCAATATCCAAAGGCCTCAATGAAGTTAAATGAAGCTCGACACGGTCTTGGCCATTTTCACGTACTCGTGCAATATACCGCAACATTATTCTGCGATGGATACCATTACGGCCTTGTCTTTGTCCGTTTTGATTTTGGACTGACTCAGGATCTTGGCCATTTTCAACATGATTCCCCATAATCGAATGACGGATATGGTCGGCTAAAGGCCCCAACCGACGTAAATGAATGTCAATACGGCCTCGGCCACGACCACGTATCCCATTTAATCCACCACGGACACCAGAACCACGAGGAAGAAAAGGCGGCATGGTTGAGTTTTAACGGCAAGCTGCAGAAAAGCCCGCATTGAAGAGGTTTCTTTTTTTAAGTTTACTTAGTACTAGCAAACTTACCACGTTGTTAAAACAATAAAAATGTTAACACTTAAAAATTTTCCAAAGTTGTACACGCTTTCAATAGCAGAAAAAAAATTTAAGCTTCGATATAAAATTTAAAAGTGGCCAGGTTATTGAAATATCGATAATTATTCCTTATTGCACGTGGATTAGGAGATGGTGATATATATTTTTTTAAAGCTTGTCAAATATATCGGATTGCATTAATATTTTTTTTTTGGTTTTTCAGGATAAGCTAGAAAAAATTAAATTTTTAGAGTTGTTATTAGGGTTCAGGTTTTAAAAGACTCAGTGAATAGACCCATTTTATGCGATTTAATTCTCAAAAAATATTTTATTTACGAAAAAATCTGTTACTGGAAGTCGTTGACTTTTGCTAATTCAGGTATTTCCCTGAACTTAAATTGCGGCTTAATATTTATTTGAATTTATTTATATTTAAAACAATTTTTTACAAACAATGAAACACAAGTCAGTGAAGCCATTTGGATTTTATAATTACTTTGGTCACACTGGTTCCCAAGCGAAATATACAACAATTTCAGAGATATAATTTTTTGAACAAATTAAGTCGATGTTAGTACTAGTCTTAGATCCAGACTAGTTTTATTTAAGGTAGGTTGAAGTGTTAAGGTTACTACGGTATTGTTTTAATAAATAATCAAACGCATAAGTATAAACAAGCTTTATTTGATTTTTGGCGCAATTGAAACTTCTACTTTATATAAATGAACTACTAATTTCCAATAAATTCTACCTTTAACCTTAATTAGTATATGATCCTGACCATTTTCACTAGCTCTTTATTTCATGTGCCACTGGTGGCACCCAGCCATGGAAAACTGCCTCCAGCTCTGCGGCGATCTTTAGGCAGAGCTTGTCCTGATACTGACCGGCCACCACCTGGAGTCCAATGGGTAATCCCCGATGGTTAATGCCCATGGGCACGTGTGTAGCGGGTAGGCCAAGGATGTTGAAGAGCAGCATATGATCGATCCCCGTCACATTCACCAGTGATGTGTGGAAGCAGAGGGCGCTCGTATGGAAGGTGGGCACAATTAGGACACCGCGGTTGCCCAACAGTTGCTATCAAAGGATAATAATAATTATTAGGTAAAATTGATTAATATATATTTATAGATTTCCTTACATTCAAGTGAACCCTGATCTTTTCTACTTCCTCCCGATACGGTCCCATATTTCCAGAGGCCATCAGACCATTAAACCGCTTCATCACCTCAAGAAACATGGCCTCCTTGGTGAATATCGAGTGACCGATGATACTGTTGAAAAGCTCTATAATTATCAGTTTCAGGGAGGGATCCCGATCCGCACGCTGGGTCACAATGCTGGGCATACCCTTCAGATCCACCAGTCCCACTAAACCAATTTCCAGAGAATTGCTAAAGAAATTAAGATCCAACTAAATGGTAAATGTAATTATGAAACTTCACATTTTTTAATAGAGAGATTAATTTATCTAAAATATATACCTTCTTAGATTGCACTCCACCCTTTTCTAGACACTGAACAGCCTTCGTGATGGCCCATTGAATCTCGGAGTCCACCACTGGATGGGTGAGACAGTTTAGGCCCGAGTAGCCGTAGGCGTAGAAAACCTAACCCATAAAGATATAAAATTAAATGTTAATTATGTATAATCCACAGAACTCTTACCTTCATTTCCTTAAGGGTCACAGGCTCCGTCATATTCAGCTTGTGCTTATTATCCCCCGCCATAATCTCCAGCAGCAGCGGCAAGTCTCGGGCAAACCTTGTGATTGGACCCAACTGCAACATCTTGGGAAACTTTGGGTCTGTTAAGGTATACGGAAAGTGGCCCTTGACCGAGGTCAGTCCACCAGTGGGCTTGTGTCCAAATACTCCACAAAACATGGCCGGCAGCCGAATGGAACCGCTGATGTCGGAGCAAACACCAAATGTGGTGGCGCCCGCACCATTTAACGAACCCTCACCGCCCGAAGAACCGGCAGAAGTGCGTCGCATGTCATACGGATTCAAAGTTCTTCCATAAATATTGTTGCTCGTCTCAAAGCTCATGCAAAATTCGGGATTGGAAGAAACTAAAAGGGGAATGCCACCGGCGGCACGGACGAGTTCCACCACATCGCCATCCTTGGGAGATGTCATATTCTTGCGAGCCAGACTGCCCACCGCAAAGGACATTCCTGTGAAGTGATTAGCAAATTGATTAAGTATTTACATCAGAAAATTATAACATAATTATATTCAATTTGGATTTTGTAGTTAAATGGAAGTGACGTTACCTTTAACACCGCACGATTCCTTGGCTGTGAAGGGAATACCCAAAATAGGATATTTTGTAAACAGAGCAACTCGGTCGAAATCTGACTTTGCCTTGGCAATAAGTTCGTCTGCCAGTTTAGCATCTTGCATGGCAGCTTCATAACGATCCTGGACGACAGCATTTAGCGTGGGATTCACCTCACCGATCCTTTCAATATAGGCACTAACCAGCTCCACCGATGTAATCTGCAAGAACATGACTTTGCAAATGTCCAAGTGTATGACGAAATTGGACTTGGAGACTCACCTCGCCGCGTCGCAATTCGGTGACCAGTTCCACGACTGATTTGTTCAGCAAAGGATTACGGATCCCTGGATATTTTGGTTTTCGTGGGGCCATCGTAAGATCCAGAATTTTGGTCACCAATATGCCAAAGGCATTCAAAATGAAGGCCATTAAGCGCAGAAATATCTCCATGACGACAGCCGGGGCGGGTCACCGTAGGGTTGAGGGATATTCAAATTGGCGGACTTCGAGACGGAAGTGGGTTACCTATAGCCAAGCGGCGGGTACTGGCACTTTCACTGCTCACTGGGCACTTGGAAAACCACCGAGCGCACCGACTGCGGATCGTGGACTAACGGTGACGATCCGCACTCGCACTCATTGCCCCCCTTTTTTTTCGATTCGAATTTGAATTGAATTTCAAAGCAGCCATTCTCAAACACTAAGGCCACCTGGAGTGTTCTGGTTTTTTAAAGTCAAGCATTTATTTTTTTTTGGAAACAGAATTTGACTAAGACAAAGTTATTTCAATGAAACACAACTGCTGAAAACCCATGTCAAAAAAGGTGTTATATGAAATGTATACATAGTTTTTTGTAAAAAATTTTTACAACCTTAAATTAGTGTTGACCTACGACCCGCCTCGCGAGTCAGTAAATTTTTCTGCAGTCTTGGCCTGGGTACCCCTGATCTTGGTAATATAATAAAAAAATAAACGGAAAAAAACTAAATTGAAAACCGGAATGAGGAAATTAAAACAAAGTTTAAAGATCAGCCACACGTGTGAACCATTTAGCCTCGTAAAAAACTGCAATTATTCATTCATGATGTATTTATTTAGTAATAATCTTAGTTATTGTTACACTTATCACTTACGTGCTAAAGGAAACGTTCAACAAAGGCAAGAACTTGTATTTTTTTTTTAGCACATTACTCACTGGAAAACAAATTGGCTAAAACGCAAATGTAACGGTTAACAGAGGTCAAAAGAGTGTCTGGGAATGAGAGTGAACTCAGTTAGGCAACTTGGCAAAGGCGCGAAAGAGACGTCGATATATACGTATAAGTACAGTTGCGCAAAAATTGACATCTATGTTTAGTGGCTATATGTATGTATTGTGTATCTATGTATGTGTGTCTCTTTGTTTTGTATGTTGCATACTCATCAAATTCAGAATTATTCATGATTTATTTCAATAGACAATTAATTGGGTGTTTTGTATTCTTAAAATCGTATATCTGCTGCAGGAATGACATCGATTACAGCCTCACAGCGGCAACAGTTCGTCAAAATGAATGAACACACTTTTTATTTATTATATTTTTACTTACAAAAAAAGAAATGAAAATACTAGGTACTCTGTTTGAAAGCCTTCGACGAAGTGTTACCGCTGAATAGGTTTTCAAATTTCAACTCCCTTAAAGGGCCTAAGCTTGATTAGTAATTCTCTGGATTGTTCTTGGTTTTTTTTTTTTTTGGCTACCCCATTCATATGTCTGTTTACCATTGATATTATGTATTCTGCGGAATAACAAAACAAATAAAAAACAACACACTTTTCAATATTCTTTAGGGATATGTATATGAGTGTTATTGTTTCTTTGGGGGCTTCTAGTCTCGTTTAATTTGTTTATTCTTAGGTTACACTATTTAAGGTATATTTTGTTATTATCAATATTTATTTATCATATATTTTGTGTGGTTATCATAAATCGGTTATTAACATTAAAATATTTATTGTCTAAAACATTTCGCCCCGCTTAGTGCCATTCTAGATCTAAATTTATAGACTTCCCCCCCCCAACGAACGATACTAACTATATAGCACACACCTTTGGCTACTTACAAATAACACCTCCTTTCTCTCGCACCAATTAAATTTTGAATTCAACGAGTGTCCTTCGGTTCTACTTGATTTGCCGATGGCCAAGATCCCAGGATCATTCCATTTAGCGGAGCACTTTGGTTAGAAAACTTAGGGGCCTAGAGGGGAAAGGTTTTGTGGGTTGGGATCATTGAAGGCGCCAGGCTCTCGGGGCTCACAAGGGCCTGGATCGCACGTGGGAAAGTGCAATGCTAAATGGAATTTCTTAGAAGATCCTTAGGTTCAGCCATTGGCCTATCTTAACCATCCTAGATCTCTCTTTCTCTTAAACAGCTTAGGTCATGTGCAGATCCCCCTTGAGGATACGCGTAAAGGTCTTCTTGAACTGCTGATTGGCCAGGGCATAGCAGAAGGGATTCATTGGGCTATTGGCATAGCAGAGGAAGTACGAGAACATATACAGATGTTCGTTGGTGCAGGGCGGATTCCTGCAGAAACCCTCGACCAGGGCCAGGACATGGTACGGCGTCCAGCAGGCCACGAAGCAACCCAAAATGAACGAGATCGTGCGGAACGCTTTGCGGGCACGATTCTCCGATTTGGACTTCTGCCTGCCGCCCACTCCAATGATCAAGGGCAGCGCCTTCTTGCTCTTAAAGTGCTTTCCTATGGAGTGGATAAAGGCCCGCTTGCTGGAGTTACGACTGGCGGCCAGACCCTTCTCCTCCATGGGGGCATCCTCCTCTTCGGGCTCTCGCTTGGTGGTGTCACCTCCGCTGACACCCGTGCCACAGACGCCACCCGTACTGCTGGTGGTGCCGGATGTGGATGGCATCTTATTGGTATTGCTATCCGAGGTCTCTCGCTCCTCGATCCGCTCCAGCTGCGGCTGGGGAGCACCTGTCGCCGGGGTTCCCGTCTGCGTCGGCGTTTGGGTCTTCACCTTCGGTGACATAGGTGGCGGCATGGGGGAATATAGAATGGCATCCTTGCTGCTCGTCTCCATGGGACTGGAGGCCCGTCGGTGTGGGCAATCCACCACTAGCTTCCCGGGTACATCCAGCAGGCAGATGGCCTCGATGCAGCTCTCACGCCTCACCTTGGCAAAGTCCTCGATGCCTGTGTACGAGACGAGAAGACGTTTTTCAATGGCCACCGCCTCCTCCAAACTTTGGCTCTGATTCTGACTCTGGTTGTGGTTCGGATTCAGGTTGAGGCTCAGGCTCATGCTCTGGCTGGGACTCTGGTTTTGGCTTGGGGTTTGGCTGAGGATCTGGCCGGGAATTTGTTTCGCCGGAGGATTTCTGCGTGCGGGCGGTGGTGGAGGCAGGACAGGTGATGGCTTTCCTTGGACACTGCTGTTGTTTGTCGATATGCTGGCATTCCCCGCCGTCGCCGTCGCCGCCGCCGCCGACACACTGGCCAGCATGGCGGAACTCTCGTCCATGTAGCGAAGCTCCGAGTTGGTCATCAGGTCATAGGTCAAAGCCAACTCACTGTTCCCCGAACTGTTGCCAAAGGGACGATCCGAGTAGTCATCGGACAGCGGAGTGGGACACTGGAAGGCATCGGGGGGCGGCAGGATGGTCTGCACCAGACCCGGATGCACCTCGTCGCTGGGCACCTCGATCGGTGCCAGATCGACGGGGGACAGGGGATCACAGGAGCTGGAAACTGGAGGAACTTGGCCAGGGGCTGACAGGTCGACCAAACGATCATGCTCGGCTATTTGGGACAATGTGGAGCAGGAGGTGCGCTTGGGCCGGTCCAGCGGTGGGTTCGCCGGGTGCTGGTTCTGGTGGTGGTAATGGTGCTGTTTCTGGTGGTGCACGGAGCGCACCTCTTCCTTGCTCTGCGCCCGCTGCAAACCGGCACCCTGTTGGTGCTGATTTTGGTGGTGTTGGTGGTACTGGTGCATGGCCTCGATGGACTTGGAGTTGGTGGTGCTCTTCTGCAAGTTACCTTTGCTCCGGGTGGCCAGCAGGGCAGCCTGTGCACCGAACACCAGTCCAATGGAGGAGCGTTTCCTCATGTTGTTTAGCTTCTGCTGGGTGATCAGCTGCTGGGCCTGGTTCACCGAGGACTCTTCGTCGGAATCGAAGGCGGGACTGCTGGATCGTTCACTCTTCTCCGCCTCAACGGCAGCCTCCCGCTTCTTGGCCGCCGAGGCCCTTCGCTGTTCTGGGGTCATCTTCTCCACCTCTTCCGTGGCCGTGGCCAGGGGATTGGCCTGTCCAGAACCACTTAACCGCTTGATTACTGTGGTGCAGGCACTATCCAAATCGGTTTGATCTCCGGCCAACTCCACCTTGGTTTTTAGTATCTTCTCCTCAATGACTCCTATGCCGGCTGCATGTCCCGCCATCCCTGACATGGCTCCCGCACTGAGAGCCACCATGGATTGCATCTTCCGCTGTTTGGCCTCACTACGTTTTTGCATATCGTAGGCTGTCTTATATATTCCAGCGTAAAGCACAAAGAGCACAATTAGAGTGGTCCAGTAGTAACCAATGATAAGGGCCGTATTGAAGATGGGATCTTTGAGAAACTGCACAGCACACTGACCAGGTAGAAGGTCCCTTTTGCCGGTAAAGTGCTCCCAACCAAAGATCGAGATGAAGAAGAGCAAGGCGGGTATAATCCACGTGATTGTGACCATATAGATCACCCTCGTTCGCGTTCTCCAGCTTCGATACTTTGCCGCAATCTTCACAGAACAGTAGCGATCGATGGTGATTAGTAAAACCGTGTACTGGGAAACCAGGCATACAGTATAATCCACAGAAAGCCACAGATCGCATAGCATTGGACCCAGATCCCAGTAGCCTTTCAGCACATATATCGTATAAAAAGGCATCGAAACGGTTCCTGAAATAAGAATAAGCAAAAACATACTATAAATATACAATTCCAAGGATAATTCCTAAGAAATACTCCAACTTTACAGGACTTCCTCTCACCTATCAGCATATCCGTGGCTGCCAGTGAAGCAATAAAGTAATTACTTGGCTGCCTGATGTTCCTGTCCACAATGAAGGCAAGGAGTACCAGAATATTACCACCCACCGTCAGGATAATGCAAATAGCCAGACAGATGGCGATGAGAATTGTCTGCCACAGGGCAAAGGGCGGCAGAACTGGACCAAGGATTTCCGAGTCGCCATTTGACTCCGCCAGGGTGGAACTGCCGCCAGTTGAGGAGTTATCCCTGAGACCCAGCAGAACGTTGGTGTGATTCGCATCAAAGTTGCGGTACCATTGCAGTTGATCATTCACCGACCAGGAGCTAAAGTCACTACTCTCGCCATAGATCTTGGCTGCTTCCAGGAGACGCTTGCATTCGGCATGGGTAAGGACTCGCTTGAACAGGATGCTGCACAGCTTCTCGCGTTCCTTACGGAGGCTCCTGAAAAGGTGGGTTAGACAGACAAATTTATTATAAATTTCTTAGAAAGTAACTCAAGAGACTTAATATTTAAGGTAGTAATAATAGTAAGTAATAAAATAATTTTAAAAAAAAATTGCTAAAAGAAAAATTACGTATCCGCCTTAGCCCTCAAAAATATTACGTATCCGCCTAGTTGAACAAAAAACCAAGGTGGTTATATAAAAAAACTAACTTAGACTTCATTAATAAATAAAATAAATAACAAATATATAGGCTACAAATTTTACCCCTAAGAAATATTACGTATCCGCCATGTATCCTTAAAAATAATACTTTTCCGTCTAGTTGAGTGATATACAAGGATCTTTATATAAAAAACCAACATACCTGACTAAATAAATACATAACGTAAATAAAATAAATAGAAAATGTATTTTCAAAATTTTTTAATCCTTAAAAAAATTACGTATTCGCCATGTACCCTTATGAATTATTACGTATCCGCCTAGTTGAGCGAAATACAAGGATCTTTATATAAAAAAAATGAACATAACTAAATAAATTAAGTAAATAAAATAAATAAAAATACGTATGTGCTAAAATTATTACAATTAAATTACGTATCCGCCTAGTACTTTTAAGAAATGTTACGTATACGCCTAGTTGAACAAAAAACAAGCGGCTTTACTTTGCAGAACACTGAAGTTCGTTTGCATTATTTTGCTAAAAAAAGGTTCTTAATATAAAACCCTAACTTCTCTTACTTATTTAAACCTTTGATGAACCTTTTATTATTTAAAACCAACTCACCAGTCGGTTATCCACTGATTCTTGATGGTATAAATGGAGTCGCTGGAGTTGCCATTGAGGCCAGCCTCTTCCTCGCCGCCGCCGCCTTGGAGGCCCGTTGACTTGTTGAGCGACCGCATTCCCTACAGATCCTCTCCTGACTCCTCTCCACACAGCACTCCTGGTCCTGTTCCAGCTGCCCCGCTCTCCGCTCCGCTCCACTCCACTCCCCCCGCTCCTCTGCGGTCTTAATGGTAATTTCAAGTTGTTCCTCCTTAATGTGCTGCTGTCGTCAACGTTTGTCCCCGGAATGCTTACATTGCCTCCTTGGAATGGCAGGACTTGTCTCCGGTCAGGTGCAGCGTCTGCAACAGGCAACAAAAGCGGCTCTTAGTCTTGGCCTACACTGGGAGAAAATGTCTTAGGTTTAAGCTAATTATAATTAGGAAGAGGATACATATTTTATATACAAAGTTAAAGTTTAAATATGTTGAACAACTTTGATATAATAAATACATTTTTATCTTTAAGAATTAGTTATTTATTTAATAATCTTTGGGTTCCTTTTTTCTCTCAGTCTTCCTTTGGCGACCGTCTTGGCTTCCGCCAAGTTTAAACTAATTTTGCAACCGTTAACTGGCAACCGGCGACTGGCGATGCAATTTACTTGTGGCAGTTGCTTCCTGGCAACCTTTCCCCCGCCTCCTTCGTCCTGTGTCGCCTTTTGTCCTGCTCTACCTCTACAACTCTGTTATGTTGCCTCATTATGTTATGCCATGATTTGCTTATGGCTCTGCCACTTGAGCTTCGAGTGGCCCGGTTCGCCCGGCGTCGCCTTCTCTATGTCCTTTTTATCTCTTGGTCCTTTCAGTGGTTTTCTTGACTTTTTCAATACCTTTTAGGGGGTATTATATTGGGACGGACAGTTGGCGAGGTGAAACTTTAGACACTTTAAATTAACATGGGATATATGATAAAACATTGTGAGGATCATTATGTTAATTAAAAGAGTACAACCTAAGAAATTATAATAGAAGAAAGTCGCAAATGGTGTAGGGTGTTGTGTATTTCAATCGCTTTGTTCTTTGGTCCCTCTTGATGTTATTTAAAACTAAATACTTGTATTTACAGACGGGGCAAACTTCCTTCCGGCGAGGTCACTGAGGGGCCAGAGGCTGGCCAACTTCTTGACTGTTGCATTTGGCCCAAGGAATCCGCCAAAGTTCTACCTCTGCCTTCGCCCCCCTCTTGTTTTGCTATTTTTAAGATGCGAGCCAGGAGCACAAGAAGGTATACATATAGAAAGTATAAAGCGACGGGGTGAAATTGAGTTTTCAACTTTTCAAATATAATTTTCGAACAAATCGATAGGACAAACTTGTGGAGCGCCTTCTTGGCAGGCAAATTCCACAAGAGACAATCAAGTTATCCGGCGCTGCAGGTTGCACGCAGCATGCTGCATCCCGTAGGCTGCCACTTGAAAGTGTTGTATCCTTGTGTACTGACAGCACGTCCGCTGGCACTTTGATTGAGTGGAAATTGAATTAGTTGAGACAATTTGTTTTCATTTAATTCCCAAAACATTGCCACAACCAAGATATATTCCCGTAACCGCTGCGTTAGTTTGCAAGAAAGGTTGCTGCCTCCTTAATCCGTCAGCACAGGCGACAATCCCATCCTGACAGCTGTCAGGATCTGTCGCCGCCGGTTTTTGTCACCGAGGGCAGCCCCGAAAAGGGGTCCAAAACCAAACCAAAAACCCAAATCAAAGCCCTGTCCCAATTTCTATGCTAATTGAGGCCCAAGCTCCGTACGAGAGTGTGCGGGTTAAGCGCTTTGATTGCATGTGAAGTTCTAGCCAGAAAGTGCTTAAATCTTGAAATGGGTTGTAGCCTCAGATCCACAAGGGTTGTCAAAAAGGCATTACAATTAGCAGGTAGTTTTAGAGGATTATTTTTGAAGTGGTTTACCAGGAAATCACTTGTTAATAATCCAAAATAAGTGCTATATTTAGTACAAATTTTTAGAATAAAAAAGGAGTTACTGAATCACTTCAATTGCAATCAATGTGTTATTCCCTTTTATTTAACAAGCTTTCGCTTATGTTTTAGGTAGGTAAACAATAGCCCCAAGAGTGACTCTGTTTCCCTAACTATGCCATAACTATGTCGTAAGAACCTTTTACAAACTCCCAGTGGCCCAGAAGCAGCTTCCTTGCCACATAACACGTGAAGTAATAATCCCGCTTAAGGACCTTAAGCCTTTGTCTAGTTGACCACCAAGTTGGACGGTGCTTTTCCTGCTGCCGCTTTCCCTGCTTTTCCCTGCTTTTCCAGACTTCACCAGTTGACCGCACAACAAAAACAGAAGGCTGCAGAAAGCTGTAAGATCAAAGCGTTGATCTGGTGGATAGAAGGAGGTGAGGAATTCCACGTAGTTTCCGGTTTCCATGGAAACTTAAAGCTGGAGTACACTGAAGGAAAAGCCTGAATTAGGAAATTAATTAATTGATGTTTCAATTTAAACATTTTTTTAATAAAACATTTTAGATGCTAGATCATTGTATTAAAAACTCTTGGTTATCTTATGGATATGTATATGAGAAACGAACTTAATTTTTCGATATAGAAAAGAAAGGTTCGATTTGATCAATTTAGAAGAACATTGCAACTCAATATGTTGTATTTAATGTGTGATTTTTTAAATATACAAAATAATATATATATTATGTCTCACTGTACTGTGGTCTGTTGCATTCTGTGCCTTCATATCTCCCCTGCAACGGACATTGGCCTGGGCTTAAAACAGAATCGAGGTTGCCACACGAATGACACAAGGCCTGAATGGCAGGATATATGTATATCCTCAAAGGGGGTTTTCCAGCGGGGGTGCTAAAGGAGCTACTGGGTTTTGCCAGCGAAGCCGTTGGCTTTTGTTTGCACAACTCAAAGTTGTTGGCATTCTTGGCGTGCGCTCGGAAAGTGAAATATGTACGCAATGTGTTTGCCTGAATGGCAAAAAGGATCCAAAGGAGAGGGAGTTGAGGCACCTTAAATCAGCAATTATGTCGCGCAACTTTTGCCCACACCCCGCCACGGCCAGGTGTTCTTAAAGGGAGAGAGAGTGAGCGGGGGGAGGCAATAAAAAAGGGATTGAGATCTGAGGTCCTTGTTAGATAAGATTTGGCCCATTCTACCAGCCAGCGAACGCGCACGCTTGTTGCCATAATAACCCGCTTTTGCCTTTTGCCATTTTTGCTTTTTTGCCTTTTAATAAACTTATTAAATGTGTAAGCCAGCCGTTGTCCTTGCCACTGATGCTTCTCTTTACGCCGCTTCCTAACCTAACCCTTTTTTTTTCCTTTCCTGGCTCTTATTTGGCAAATAATGAAAAGTAATTTAATCAAGCCAACAAAAGGGACACGAGATTCATCAGGAAAAATAATGAAAGTCAAACGGTGCGGCGTTCTATTTTATTTTTGTTTGATTTTTACGTTAAGATCAGCATAGGGGCATCCTTGCTGGACTCAGGACTCTCGGGGGCTCGCGTTAATTGCCTGCACAAAGACCCTGCAGTTTTCGGTTAGCGCGGCTTCCAATCATGCGCTAATATCCTTTGAAGGCTGCATCCATAATCCCCGCCAGCAATCCCACCGTTCCATGCCAAAAGGTATGGATGATGACGATGATGATGATGATGACGCTGATGACGATGGTGATGATGGTGATGATGCTGGTTTGGCATTCTGGAGCGTCAAAAACTGTCAACGGCAATGGCATTCTTTTGTGCCCAAGCCCCGGCCGCAGATTATGATTTTGACAGCATTCTCTGGCCACGTTGGCAAGAGAAGGGAATGGGAATGGGAATGGGTAAAATCTGGGCGGAAAATCCGTAGGAAAATGGCCAGGGAATAGAAGGCTATGCGCCGCATAATCAACTTGTGCAAGTGCGCCCCGACAAGTTTTAATTACAAAACGTTCAGGCTCTTTACTCTACTTTAACCACTGCCACAGCCACTTTCATTTCCAGCTCTATTCTCCTCCAGCTTCTGTTTAATTCATCAACGTTCTAGAATCTGGATTAACATTCTTCACTTTCTTTTTTTTAGCTAGCTAGCTGCCTCGTGTTGACTCCCTGGGAACTACTTGGCACGCGCATTTTAATCAAAGTAAAATTTTAAATAAATATTAGAGACGACGCGCAACGTGATGAATAATTTCGGGCTGCGACTCTCTGTCAATTGTCTTCTGGCTCACATGGGCAATTTCAATTTAAACTTTTATTTAAGGAAGAGAAGTGTTGGTATTACAGTTGAAAGAATTATAACTTAATGGGTTTTAAATGGGATTATTTGAGGGTCAAATATAATTGTATATTGAATATATATCTTAGGAGAAATGGAAGACTATTAAACTTAACTTTTATACTTTCGGTCAGAACCTGAAAATGCAGTGAAGAAATAATTTCCGATCATATAAATCATATATATTATTGATCAGCATTAACAGCCGAATCGATCTGGCTATGTCTGGAAGAAAATTTTTTTCAACTTTTATAAGGGGTTACATCGTTAAAATTTTAAGATTGTAAATTGAGTATGCAGATTTCCGACCCTATAAATCATATATATTCTTGATCAGCATCGTCAGCTGAATCTTTTAGGCCATCTTAGATGGAAAATAAATTTTTTCGATTTTTTCAGAATTCTATAAGGGGTTACATTTAATTTTAAAACAAGTATGCAGATTTTAACGTAACAAAACTAAACATAGGAATGGTTTCTAATTTAAAATTAATGCATTTTTGGCTTAGTTATGAATGTTTTAAACTTTGATTCGTGAAAAAAATTGTCATATAAAAATATTGATAAATATCGATATGTCTTAAGCTTACTTATAATCGATCTCATGAAGAAATTAAAAACGGCAAGTTTAAGTTCTAGCTTCCCGAAGTTAGGTTCCTCTCTGGTTTTAAATAAAAAACCCCCTGAATTAACCAACTAAATGCCATTTTCTCAAAGTGTGTGGGTAAGAAGTGGCTTGTGTGGGTACGGTCGGGTGTTCCGGTGGTGGGTGGTGGGTGGCTTGTCTTGTTGAATCGGTGGCTGCATCAGACTTGTCCTTGACACGCTTGCTGCATTCGAAATGAAGGTTGGCTCGCTTCCTTGCCGCGGCGAGTACTGAAAAGAGCTTTTTCCAAGACAAGCCAGAGAGACCGCAAATCGTTCTCGGAGACTGTTGCGCGTTTACTTTTTCGCACACTGACACAAAACACAGGACATATACACACACCAGGACACACACTCACACACAGACGAGGGAATGCACATGCAAATTTAACGAGCGCCAATGGCAAAAATTGCGCC